AGAACTAAAGGAGAGGCCGGGCACGGCGGCTCACGCCTATAATCCCAGCACTTTGGGAGGCTGAGGTGGGTGGATCACTTGAGCCCAGGGGTTCAAGGCCAGCCTGGGCAATGTGGTAAAACCCTGTCTCTACCAAAATATACAAAAACTAGCTGGGTGTGGTGGTACGTGCCTATAGTCCCAGCTACTGGGGAGGCTGAGGTGGGAGGATTGCTTAAGCCCAGGAGGCAGAGGTTGCAGTGAGCTGAGATCACACCACTGCATTCCAGCCTGGGTGACAGAGCAAGACCCTGACTTAAGAAGACGTAAAAGACTGATTCATCCCCTCCTGGACACATAGCCCCTCTAGAGCTGTCTTTGACAGTCTGGGCTGCCATAACAAAGTCCCATAGACTGGCTGCCTTATCAACAATAGACATCTATTTCTTGCAACTCTGGAGACTGAAGATCTGAGATCCGGGTGCCTGGTCAGCTTCTGGTGAGGGCCCTCTTCTGGGTTCTAGATCGCAGACTTCTTGTGTCTTCACGTGGTGGAAAAAGAGGGAGGGAACTCTCTGGGGTCCCATTGATTGATTGATTGACATGGAGTTTCACTCTTGTTGCCCAGACTGGAGTGCAGTGTCATGATCTCAGCTCACTGCAACCCCTGCCTCCCAGGTTCAAGCAATTCTCCTGCCTCAGCCTCCCAAGTAGCTGGGATTACAGGCGTCTGCCACCACGCACCCAGCTAATTTTTTGTATTTTTAGTACAGAAGGGGTTTCACCATGTTGGGCAGGCTGGTCTTGAACTTCTGACCTCGTGATCCACCTGCCTTGGCCTCCCAAAGTGCTGGGATTACAGGCATGAGCCACCGCGCCCAGCCATCACTTTTATTAATATGAGGGCACTATACCATTGGTGAGGGTAACACCCTCATGACTCATCACCTCCCAAAGGCCCCTGTCTCATCACCTTGGAGGGTAGGTTTCAACATATAAATTGGGGGGGGGGGACACGTTCAGTCTATTGCAAGAGCAATGGGGTAAGTTTCAGTGTTGGGATGTGTGAAATGGGGGACAATATTGCAGGCAAAGACTCTGGCTGTAGCCCCATGAGGGTCTCTGCTGAGAAGTGACTCCTCCAGCCCTCTACCCCAAATCTCCAGCCCTCTACTCCAGATCTCCAGCCCTCTACCCCAAACACCCCATTATGATCTCATTTCTTCATCCATAAGATAGGAACAGAAATAGCACCTTGGCCAGGCACAGTGGCTCATGCCTGCAATCCCAGCAGTTTGGGAGGCTGAGGCAGGCGAAGCATGAGGTCAGGAGTTCGAGACCAGCCTGGCCGATATGGTGAAACCCAGTCTCTACTAAAAATACAAAAATTAGCCAGGCATGGTGGTGTGCACCTGTAGTCCCAGCTACTCGGGAGGCTGAGGCAGGAAAATTGCTTGAACCCGGGAGGTGGAGGTTGCAGGGAGGTGGAGGTTGCAGTGAGCTGAGATTACACCACTGCACTCCAGCCTGGGCGACAAGAGCAAAAACTTCGTCTCAAAACAAGCCCCCAAAAACAACTGAAAATCTCCATAAAAGCCACACAAACCCTGGCAAAAATAGTCAAAACCAACTTTTTCAGAACTTTAGAAATTAACCAAAGGCTTATAACAATTCGGGGAGTTTAAGAAAAATAGCTGAATATCTCTAAGATTGTCAACAGAGAAAAATGATGAGACAAGTTGTCAATCATTTTAGGAGGTTTCTTTGCCAAAGTTAATGATACATGCCAGGGAGACACGTCTATGTCTTTCTCCAGAGATAATTTTGAGGGCTCCACCTTTAAAGGGGAAGGGGTGAGATACTGAGAAGTACACAATTTTCGTATAAGAAGGAGGCAGGAAAAATAGTCATTCATGCCTTTTGTCTGGCTCAGTGAATCTGCTCTCCCTCCAACCCCCCGCACCCAGACAGGGTCTCATTCTGTCACCCAGGCTGGAGTGCGGTGGCACAATCTCAGCTCACTGCAACCTCTGCCTCCCGGGTTCAAGCAGTTCTCCTGCTTCAGCCTCCCAAGTAGCTGGGATTACAGGTGCCCTCCACCACGCCCAGCTAATATATGTATTTTTAGTAGAGACGGGGTTTCACCATGTTGGCCAGGCTGGTCTCGAACTCCTGACCTCAAGTGATCAGCCTGCCTCGGCCTCCCAAAGTGCTGGGATTACAGGTATGAGCCACCATGCCTGCCTGGCATTTTTTTTACACAAGATAACATAGAGAAAATGGGGCAGGGGAGCAATCTGATATGCATTTGTGTCTGGTGGGCAGCGGGTTGACTGCCCCTTTAAAAGATATGCTATCAGTTTCCATTGCCATGGTGAAATTTTAACAGAAACACCTTAAAGATCTTGCAGCTCACTAGGAATTTCCTTGTGGGCAAAATGTGGGGGAGGCTTGTAGCTTTTCATCTTGTAACCATCTTATTTAGAAACCCAAAAATGGGGAGGCAGGTTTGCACAACCCAGTTCCCAGCTTGACTTTTCTCTTTGGCTTAATGAGGTTGAGGTCCCAAGATTTTATTTATTTATTTTTTTTTTTTTTTTTTTTTGAGACGGAGTCTCACTCTGTCGCCCAGCCTGGAGTGCAGTGGCGCCATCTCAGCTCACTGCAAGCTCCGCCTCCCGGGTTCACGCCATTCTCCTGCCTCAGCCTCCCGAGTAGCTGGGACTACAGGCGCCCGCCACCGCGCCCAGCTAACTTTTTGTATTTTTTAGTAGAGACCAGGTTTCACCGTGTTAGCCAGGATGGTCTCGATCTCCTGACCTCGTGATCCGCCCATCTCAGCCTCCCAAAGTGCTGGGATTACAGGTGTGAGCCACCACACCCAGCCTATTTTTTTTTTTTTTTTTTTTTTTTTTTTTTGAGATGGAGTCTCACTCTGTCACCCAACCTGGAGTGCAGTGGCACAATCTTGGCTCACTGCAACCTCTGCCTCCTGGGTTCAAGCAGTCCTCCTGGTTCAGCCTCCTGAGTAGCTGGGATTACAGGCACGTACCACCACACCCAGCTAATTTTTGTATTTTTAGCAGAGATGGGGTTTCACCATATTGGCCAGGCTGGTCACGAACTCCTGACCCCAGGTTATCTGGCAGATAAATCCAAAAGTGTTGGAGTGACAGGCGTGAACCACCATGCCCAGCCTGGGTTCCCAAGATTTAATTTCCTTTCACACGACCAATGAGCTTTGTGACATACGACCTTCCCATTTCATTCTTCTCAGCTCTGTGATAGCCTTAAAATCCAATAGACTTGGCCAGATACGCACTTGTAATCTCGGCACTTTGGGAAGCTAAGGTGGGCAAATTGCTTAAGCCCAGGAGTTTAAGACCAGCCTGGGCAAGATGGCGAGACCCCATGTCTACAAAAAATACAAAAATTAGTTAGGCGTGGTGGCACAAGCCTGTAGTCTCAGGTACTTGGGAGGCTGAGGTGGGAGGATTGCGTGAACCTGGGAAGTCGGGGCTGCAGTGAGTCATGATCATGCCACTGTACTTTAATCTGAGCAATGGGGGGTGAGATCCTTCCATCTCAAAAAAAAAAAAAACCCACAGTAGCTGTAAACACCAGCAATTTAGGCCAGGCGCAGTGGCTCACGCCTGTAATCCCAGCACTTTGGGAGGCCGAGGTGGGCGGATCACAAGGTCAGGAGATTGAGACCATCCTGGCTAACACGGTGAAACCCCGCCTCGACTGAAAATACAAAAACTAGCCGGGCGTGGTGGCGGGCGCCTGTAGTCCCAGCTACTTGGGAGGCTGAGGCAGGAGAATGGCGTGAACCCAGAAGGCAGAGATTGCAGTGAGCCGAGTTTGCGCCACTGTACTCCTGCATGACAGTGCAAGACTCCATCTCAAAAAAAAAAAGCCAGGTGTGGTGGCTCATGCCTGTAATCCCAGCACTTTGGGAGGCTGAGGTGGGCAGATCATGAGGTCAGGAGATGGAGACCATCTTGGCTAACACAGTGAAACCCCATCTCTACTAAAAATATAAAAACTAGCCGGGCGAGGTGGCAGGCGCCTTTAGTCCCAGCTACTTGGGAGGCTGAGGCAGGAGAATGGTGTGAACCCGGGAGGCGGAGCTTGCAGTGAGCCGAGATCGCACCACTGCACTCCAGCCTGGGCAACAGAGCGAGACTCCGTCTCAAAAAAAAAAAAAAAATAGCAACCATTTGAGAGAAAATGGGTTTGAAACTCGCCAAAAAGCCCTATCTTCAGAGAATTGTCAGTACTTCACCTATAAGGCAACTGCCTGGAAAGCCCCACTCAAATGACTTTCTTTTTTCCCCTTTGAGACAAAGTCTTGCTTGCTCTGTTGCCAGGCTGGAGTGCAGTGGCGTGATCTCTGTTCACCACAACCTCTGCCTCCTGGGTTCAAGCAATTCTCCTGCCTCAACCTCTCGAGTAGCTGGGACTACAGGCGCCTGCCACCACGCCCAGCTAATTTTTGTATTTTTAGTAGAGACAAGGTTTCACCATGTTGGCCAGGATGGTCTCGATCTCTTGACCTTTTGATCCACCCACCTCAGCCTACCAAAGAGCTGGGATTACAGGCGTGAGCCACAATGCCCAGCCCATTGTACCATTCTTACGCCTTTGCATCCACATAGCTTAGCTCCCACTTATAAGTGAGAACATACAATGTTTGGTTTTCCATTCCTGAGTTACTTCACTTTGAAGAATGGTCTCCAACTCCATCCAGGTTGCTGCAAATGCCATTATTTCTTTCCTTTTTATGGCTGAGTAGTATTCTGTGATATGTATATGTATATGTATGTGTGTGTATGTATATATGCATATGTATGTGTATGTATATGTATACACACACACATTTTCTTTACTCGTTGATTGATGGGAATTTGGGCTGGTTCCATATTTTTGCAATTTCAAATTGTGCTGCTATAAATATGCGTGTCTTTTTCATATAATGATGTCTTTTCCTCTGGGTAGATACTCAGGAGTACGACTGCTGGATCGAATGGTAGATCTACCTTTAATTCTTTAAGGCATCTTTAAAGGAATATAAAGTCTCGAGGATTGGGATATATGAAGAAACAGAGGAGGAGGAGAAGGATGTGCCTCAGTTCAGTGAGTCCAGAGGAAGACTGGGTGGTTGACCTTTGGCTGGGTGTGCAGATGGACGTGATTCTAGTAATTTGAGGCAGTACTGACCATGAAGCTGATTTATTGCAGGTACCTCATCTGAGATTGATGGTAACTGATGGCAAATGCCAAGGGGCATTTTTAGGGGAGGATCCAACAGAATTTGGAGCAATTGGCTGCAGCACAAGGCTGGAGCCTCTGGCTCTCTGAGGTTCCAGGGACAGAACCCCAAGTCAGGGGGACATTGAGAGGAGGCACACATTAGGGAGAAATAAGGATAGCATAACTAATTCCTTCACTTATTTATTGTGAGACGGAGTCTCACTCTGTCACCCAGGCTGGAGCACAGTGGCGCGATCTCGGCTCACTGCAACCTCTGCCTCCCAGGTTCAAGTGATTCTCCTGCCTCAGCCTCCTGAGTAGCTGGGATTACAGGTGCCTGCCACCATGCCCAGCTAATTTTTGTATTTTTAGTATAGACGGGGTTTCACCATGTTAACCAGGCTGGTCTCCAACTCCTGACCTTGTGATCTGCCCACCTTGGTCTCCCAAAGTGCTGGGATTACAGGCGTGAGCCACCGCGCCTGGCCATTCCTTCACTTACGATAATTCAGCAAACAACACAGATAAATACAATTCAAATCTTTGATTGCAGGAAACGGAGTTTAGTGGAGTTGCCTAAATGACGGTGGGATTAGAGGGTGGCACCGAGTCTGCCTGGGGAACAAGGGTTGTCACCCAGGATGTGGCGTATGCATGCAGCCTTGGAGGACGACTAGAACTTTTCCAGGTAGGTAAATTCAGGAAACGAGAACAGCTTGAGCAAAATCACGGTGTATTCAGGATGTGAGTCCCTCACTCCAACCCGGGTACGTGTTGCACAGGGGAAGGGAACAAAAAATGATGCCAGGCATGACCTTATGAATGACCCCAAGTGCCTTTGGGCGGCCAAGGTGGGTGGATCACCTGAGGTCAGGAGTTCAAGACCAGCCTGCCCAATATGGCGAAACCCCATCTCTACTAAAAATACAAAAATTAGCCAAGCGTGCTGGCGGGCACCCGTAATCCCAACTATTTGGGAGACTGAGGCAGAAGAATCGCTTGAACCCAGGAGGCGGAGGTTGCAGTGAGCTGAAATTGCACCACTGCACTCCAGCCTGGGCCACAAGAGCGAAACTCTGTCTCCAAAAAAAAAAAAAAAACACGCATGCCATGCTAAGGAGTGTGGACTCGACCCTGATGGTCGAGAGGGATTGTTAAGCAAAGAATTGATACCTGTGGATCCAAAGGGCCGTTCCAATTGGTGGCATGGAAAAGTGATTCAGAAGTTGGCTGCGACTGGAAGATCAAGGAGGATCTGTTAGGAAAGAGAAAGACATGGCCAGGCCCGGTGGTTCACTTTGGGAGGCCAAGGCGGGTGGATCACTTGAGGTCAGGAGTTCGAGACCAGCCGGGCCAACAGGGTGAGCTCTTTTCTCTACTAAAACTACAAAAATTAGCCGGGTGTGGTGGCACACGTCTGTAATCCCTGCTACTCAGAAAGCCGAGGCAGGAGAATTGCTTGAACCAGGGAGGCGGAGGTTGCAGTGAGCCGAGATCTCGCCACTGCACTCCAGCCGGGGTGACAGAACAAGACTCTTTCTCAGAAAGGAAAGGGAAAACAGTACTTAGGGGAAAGAGAAGAACTTCCAAGGTGGAGGTACGTCTGTGGGGCCCAGTTGCATTCGAGGGTGCAGGAGAGAGAATTAATCTGGAATAAATCTTCCTGATTTTGGCACTGGGCCAGCTCCATTCCCAGAAAGATGGGAGAAGCTTGGGTTAGAAATAACACATTGAACTTGGGACAGGTTGAGTTGGAAGGGTTGGTGGAAGTGTTTAGGAGGCGGTGGAAAATATGGTTCTGGGCTCGGTGTGGTGGCTCACGCCTGTAATCCCAGCATTTGGGGAGGCTAAGGCTCACTTGAGCCCAGGAGTTCGAGACCAGCCTGGGCACCATAGCAAGACTCCCATCTCTACACAAATAAAATAAATAAAATTAACTGAGCATTGTGGCACACACCTGTAGTCCCAGCTACTTAAGAGGCTGAGGCAGGAGTTTCACTTGAAGCCCACAGCTTGAGACCAGCCTGGGTGACACAGCTAGACCCCATCTCTATAAAAAACTTTTTTTTTTAACTTAAAAAAATTTAAAGCTTTTCTGAAATTAAAAATTTTTAAGATTTTTAAAATTTAAAAATTTTTTAGTTTCTTTAAATTTTAAAAATGCTTAAATTTTTTAAAATTAAAAAAATTTAAAGTCTTGAAATTTTAAAAAATGTAAAGTTTTTAAAAATTTTTTAAACATATGGGCTGGGTGTGGTGGCTCACACCTGTAATCCCAGCACTTCGGGAGGCTGAGGCACAAGGATCACTTGAGACCAGCCTGGGCAATATAAGGAGACCCTTTTTCTACAAATAATTTTTTTAAAAAATAGCCAGGTATGGTGGCATGCACCCATGGTCTGTTACTTGGGGGCTGAGGGAGGAGGACTGCCTCAGTCTGGGAGATTGAGGCTGCAGTGAGCTGTGATCACACCACCACACTCCAACCTAGTTAACAGAGTGAGACCCTGTCTCAAAAGAAAAAAAAAAAAAAAAGGTAGGGTGCAGTAGTCCACCCCTGTAATCCCAGCACTTTGGGAAGCCGAGGCAGACGATCACTTGAGTCCAGGAGTTCAAGACCAGCCTGGGTAACATGGCAAAACCCTGTCTCAACAAAAAAATAGAAAAACTAGGCCAGGCACAGTGGCTCATGCCTGTAATCCCAGCACTTTGGGAGGCTGAGGCTGATCAGCTGTGGTCAGGAGTTTGAGACCAGCCTGGCCAACACAGTGAAACCCTGTCTCTACTAAAAATACAAAAATTAGCTGGGCATGGTGGCACATGCCTGTAGTCCCCCCTACTCGGGAGGCTGAGGCAGGAGAATCGCTTGAACCTGGGAGGCAGAGGCTGCAGTGAGCTGAGACTGCACCACTGCACTCCAGCCTGGGCAACAGAGTGATGTGAGACACTATCTCAAAAAATAAAATTAAAAAAATTAGCCAGATGTGGTGGTGTACACCTGTGGTCCCAACTACTTGGGGGACTGAGATGGGAGGATTGCTTGAACTCAGGAGGTGGAGATTGCAGTGAGCCAAGATCACACCACTGCCCTCCAGCCTGGGCAATGGAGCAAGACCCAGTCTCAGTAGTGATGATGATATATGACTCTGCATCTAAGAGGAAGGACTGGAATTCTCCTCACGACCATGGCAGCAGGTGCTCTGACTCGTGAAGGCTGCTCTTCCTCACGAGGCGGCTGCCTCCCTGGAGAGGATGGATGCTCCTCCCTGGTAGTTATTTTCTCTGCGACTGAGGGAGAAATGATGAACCCAGGATTGCAATGGGTTTGTCCTGAATCCAGCAAAGGGGAAGTAAAGGGACTCATAAAGCACTCATCCCAGGGCAGGAGAGATGACGGATGCGCTTGTTTTATCAGCATGGGGCTGGGAGGCGTGCAGGGGGTCAGGCGGCCTCTGTGCACAGAGGATACTCCCACTGCTCCTGAGGCTTCACCCACATGGCTCTGTCTGCAGGACTGGTCCTTCCTGCCGCTCAGAACCAAGCCCACTCCACGCAGAGATCACCCGGGAGAACCCGGACTCCCTCCAGTCCTTCTTCCCCGCCGGGTGCAGCTCTTCCTCCTCACTGTAGGCTGGAAACCAGGATGCCTGGCTCCCTAGGTATGGACGAGGTGGGATAGAATGGGGAGGGCGGGTGGCCAGGTCTGAAGGAGACCCCTGGGTGCCTGGAAGCATGCAGGGCACAGCACAGCAGCTCCAGCCATCTGAATTTCCGGGGGACATTGGACAGTGGGAAGTGAGGGATGCCCAGGACTGATGGAGGGGAGGATTCTGGGTTCTTGAGAGAATGTGGGGTCAGAGTGAGAAGCAAGGGGGGGGGTCCCCGGAAGGCTGGGCATGGGGTTCTGGGGCTAGGACAAGCAAAAGGCATGCAGGTGTCTGGGAGGGAGGTGTTACAGTGACACCTTTCCAGCCTGCACTCCTGTCCCTGCCGCTGACCCCAACGCGAGCTGCTGGCCTGAGTCCAACGGGACAGCCCTGCAGGAGTTGGTGATCCTGGGCTGCTCCGCGTGCTGCTCTTCGCCCTCCTCTTGCCGCTCTACCTGGCCACCCTGGCGGGGAACCTTCTGATCCTGGGCTCGGCCCTGGTGGACCTTGCCCTGCACTCGCCAATGTACTTCTTCCTGGGGGCAGCGCCCGCGGTGGAGGCAGCCTACACGCTAGTGCTCACGCCACGCATGCTGGCCGGCGTCCTCCTGCCCCTTCCACCTGCGCTGCCCAGATGGGCCTCTTTGTGGCCCTGGGGGGCTCCGAGTGCCTGCTGCTGGCTGCCATGGCCCTCGACCGCTACCTGGCCATCTGCTGCCCGCTCTACTACCCTCAGCTCATGACCGTAGACGTCTGCTGGGGCCTGCTGGCCGCCTGCTGCGCGGGTGGCTGTATCCCGGCCCTGGGCCTCACCACGGCCATCTTCCAGCTGGCCTTCTGCCGTGGCGGCCTGGTCAACCACGTCTTCTGTGACCTCCCGGCCATGCTGGTGCTGGCCTGCGGGTCCCGGGCCCCACAGGAGCGCGTCCTCCTGGTGCCCTGCCTGCTGCTGCTGCCCCTGCTCCTCATCCTGCTCTCCTACACCTGGGTGCTGGTGGTCGTCCTGGGCGTTGGGAGGGTCGCAGGCCGCCGCAAGGCCTTCAACACGGTGGCATCCCACCTCACCGTGGCCGTGCTCCACTACGGCTGTGCCACAGCCATGTATGCCAGGCCCCTGAGCAGCCGTTCCCTTGAGGAGGACAAGCTGGTCTCGCTCATCTACGTCGTCACCCTGCTGCTGTACCAGCCACCTACACACTGCGGAACCAGGACATGGAGGAGGCCCTGCAACGCATGGTCAGCCAGAGGACGCCGGGGATGGGTCACCAGGTGGATTTCGTCTGATGCTGGGTGCCAAGCAGTATCTGTCCTGAGATTTCCCCCACTGAGGGGAATCTCACCATTTCGGAGCCATCTAAGCCTCCCCAACGCCTACTGGATGTAAACGTAAGTATGGCACGCAAGGACCGCCAATCCAACACCAGCCTAGCGCTGCTGCGTCTGTTGATGTCTTGTGCTGGATGGTTCTTTGCTGTTGAGGGATGTCCCATGCATTATAAAATGCTCAGCCACACCCTGAATCTTTCTCTATTCACTGGATGCCAGTGGCACCCTCCACCCCACTCCCCTACGTGATGATCAAAAATGTTGTTGGGCTCGGCATACTGGAGCACTTTGGGAGGCCAAGGCAGGAGGATCTCGAGCCCAGGAGGTTGAGACCAGCCTGGGTAATACGGTGAAACCCCACCTCTATAAAAATTGGCCAGGTGTAATGCTGTGTGCCTGTAGTCCCAGCTACATGGGAGGCTGAGGCGGGAGGATCACGAGCCCAGGAGGTGGAGGCTGCAGTGAGCTGTGATTGCAGGACTGTACTCCAGCCTGGGTAACAAAGCAAAGCCCTGTCTCAAAAACAAATACCTCCTGAAGGGACCATTTAGGAGCCAGGAACCTCAGAGGCATGGTCAGTGCAGGTAGCCTCTGCCTACCTAACCTCCTGGCTGGCGAACGTGCATGCCGGTCAAGGCTGATTGGGAAGAATTACGTCTATGCCAGTGAGGCGCACCAAGAAGGAAGCCACCAATGGCTTCAGGAGTCTTGGGAAAGAGGAAGAGTCTCTTCTTCATACCATTTCCATCCTTCTCTGTGGTTTCTTAAGGCTGGTGTCAGGGAACCTGAAACACAAAAGCCGTAGCCCTGGAGCAGGAGAGCCTCCCAGCCTTCTCCCCAGATGCTGCAGGCATGTGGAACATGATCACCCCTAAAGAGATTTAAGACAGCTTTTTTTTTTTTTTTTTTTTAAATGGAGTCTCACACCATTGTCCAGGCTGGAGAGCAGTGGTGCGATCTCAGCTCACTGCAACCTCAGCCTCCTGGGTTCAAGCGATTCTCCTGCCTCAGCCTCCTGAGTAGCTGGGATTACAGGCACCCGCCACCATGCCCGGCTAATTTTTTGTATTTTTAGTAGAGACAGGGTTTCACTATGTTGGTCAGGCTGGTCTCGAACTCCTGGCCTCAGGTGATCCATCCGCCTCTACCTTCCAAAGTGCTGGGATCACAGGCGTGAGCCACCGCACCCAGCCGTGAGATCTTTATTATTAAAGGAATTATCTTGGAGCTAGAGGCATTTTCTGCAGTGACTTATCCTCACATGGACCTATGGATCTTTAAGATGTCTAACAGAAGAATACTAGAGTCCACACAAGCCATCCTGGCCTCAGAGTCAGACTCCCTGCTGTCTCCTGATGCCTGTATTACCACTTTGTTGGGTTTTTTGGGGGGACACGGTCTCACTCCATCATGCAGGCTGGAGAATGGGGGTACGATCATGGCTCACTGCAGCCTCAAACTCCTGGGCTCCAGCGATCCTCCCACCTCAGTCTCCCAAGTAGCTGGGACTACAGGTGCATGCCACCACATCCAGCTAGTTTTTAAAACTGTTTTTGTAGATATGGGGGTCTCACTATGTTGCCCAGGCTTGTCTTGAGCTTCTGCCCTCAGGTGATCCTCCTGCCTTGGCCTCCCAATTAGCTGGGATTATAAAAATTAGGCAGGCACAGTGGCTCATGCCTAGTTTCTTTTTTTGTAGAGATGGAGTTTCACTATGTTGCCCAGGCTAGTCTCGAACTCCTGGCCTCAAGTGATTCTTTTGCCTCAGCCTCTCCAAATGCTGAGATTACAGGCATGAGCCACCACACCTGGTGTATCTTCATTTACATTTTAAACCAAAGACACTACCTGCTGCCTCACCTCTGAGGCTCATGTCCGACTCAAGGGAGTCACTCCTCTGTTTAGAAGTTCCCGGCTGTGTGCAGTGGCTCACGCCTGTAATCCCAGCACTTTGGGAAGCCAAGGTGGGCAGATCACCTGGGGTCAGGAGTCTGAGACTCAACCTGGTCAACATGGTGAAACCCCATCTCTACTAAAAATACAAAAATTAGCCAGGCATGGTGGTGAATGCCTGTAATCTCAGCTACTTGGGAGACTAAGGCAGGAGAACTGCTTGATCCCGGGAGGCAGAGGTTGCAGTGAGCCACGATTGTACCACTGCACTCCAGCCTGGGCTACAGAGAAAGACTCTGTCTCAAAAAAAAAAAAAAAAAAAGTTCCTGGCCAGGCGCGGTGGCTCATGCCTATAATCCCAGCACTTTGGAAGGCTGACGTGGGCGGATCACCTGAGGTCAGGAGTTTGAGACCAGCCTGACCAACATGGAGAAACCCCATCTCTACTAAAAATACAAAAAAATTAGCCAGGTGTGGTGGTGGGTGCCTGTCATCCCAGCTACTCGGGAGGCTGAGGCAGGAGAATCTTGTGAACCTGGGAGGCAGAGGTTGCGGTGAGCTGAGATCACACCACTGTACTCTAGCCTGGGCAACAAGAGTGAAACTCTGTCTCAAAAAAAAAAAAGTTCCTGAGCTGAACTGCTGAATTTTTTTTTCTTTTTTTTTTTTGAGATGGAGTCTCACTCTGTTGCCCAGGCTGCAGTCCAGTAGCGTGATTTTGGCTCACTGCAAGCTCCGCCTCCCAGGTTCACGCCATTCTCCTGCCTCAGCCTCCCGAGTAGCTGAGACTACAGGCGCCCACCACCACGCCTGGCTAATTTTTAAAATTTATTTTTATTTTTTAGTAGAGACGGGGTTTCACCGTGTTAGCCAGAATGATCTCGATCTCCTGACCTTGTGATCTGCCCGCCTCGGCCTCCCAAAGTGTTGGGATTACAGGTGTGAGCCACCGCGCCCAGCCGAACTGCTAAATTTCTGAGGTGAAGACCACCTGTTCATCTCCATCAGATTTCTAGGGTGAGACCCAGGCCAGGGGTATTTTTAAAGTTCCCCAAGTAATTTCGGTGTGGATCATCAATTAATTAGCAGTGTCCTGAACAAATGTTTGACAAAGAATCCTTGTCCTGATCCAAAGAGGGTTTAAAGGAGTGTCCCCCAGAGCTTCTTGAAGAAACATGGACAAATGAAATAACAGCTCTTCTCCCCGTGGGGTTATACTGAGTATAGCCCATTAGGCAGAATAGAGCCATATTACACGGTCTTGAAAGAAGAATGTAAAAGTCATATAAAAGGTCATACACCAGGCTGGACAGTAGAGTACCAGATGCATGAAGTAGACAAAGCTGACATTAACCTCTAAGATCGGCCAGGCACAGTGACTCACACTTGTAATCCCAGCACTTTAAGAGGCCGGGGTGGGAGGATCGCTTGAGCCCAGGAGTTCAACACAATCCCGGGCAACATCGTGAGACCCCATCTCTACTAAAAAACCTGGAAGATGAGCCAAGTTTCTTTCTTTTTTTTTTTTTTTTTTTTTTTTAAAGAGACAGGGTCTCTCCCAGGCTGGAGTGCAGTGGTGTGATCATAGCGCACTGCAACCTCGACCTCCTAGACTCAAGCAATCCTCCAGCCTCAGCCTCCCAAAGTGCTGGGACTACAGGTGACAGCTGCCATGCCTGGAGGGTTTAATTACTTCTGATTCCATTACTGGTGCTAGCTGAACTTCCATTTTTGTTTCTCTGAGATGGGGTCACGCTCTGTTGCCCAGGCTGAAGGATCCATAGCTCACTGTAGCCTCAACCTCCTGGGCTCAAGTAAACCTCCCTCCTCAGCCCCCTGATTAGATGAGACTACAGGCGCACGCCACCATATCCGGCTAATTTTTGTATTTTTAGTAGAAATGGGATTTCACCATGTTGGCCAGGCTGGTCTTGAACTCCTAACCTCATATGATCTGCCTGCCTCAGCCTCTCCAAGTGCTGGGATTACAGGCGTGAGCCACCATGCCTGGCCTCTGAATGAGCGTTTAATAGAAAAGATGCTGCCAGCTCCAGATAACCCAGCCCCTTCATTTTCTACAGCAGAAACTTGGTGATCAGCATGAACCAATGCCACACGAAGGTGAGCTGAGAGGGAGACAGCAGTGATTTAAAGTCATCAAGTTGGCCAGGCGCAGGGGCTCATGTCTGTCATCCCAGCACTTCAGGAGGCCGAGGCAGGCAGATCACGAGGTCAGGAGATCAAGACCATCCTGGCCAACACAGTGAAATGGCATCTCTACTAAAAATACAAAACTTAGCCAGGTGTGGTGGTGCGCACCTGTAGTCCCAGCTACTGGGGAGGCAGAGGTTGCAATGAGCCGAGATCGCGCCACTACACTCCAGTCTGGACGACAGAGGGAGACTCCATCTCAAAAATAAATAAAGTCATTAAGTACACTAAAGGACAGGAATAGCTTTCACCAGTTTGTGGGTGTGAAGAAGAGAATGGGGACTAAATTATACGTGTAGCAAATATGTTTTTAAGGCACTTCACAGTGAAAGAAAAAGATGAAAAGAACAACAAATGGCACAAAGTAATAGCTGTTTTAACAAAGGGCAGATGAATGAATCTCTGAACACAGGAGAAAGCCTGTTTTATAACCACAGGGAAAATACGGAAGATTCTACAGGAAGACTTAGCAATCGAGGTCTTAGTGGGGACAGCAAAGCAGAATCAAAGGACAAATGAAAATAGACGGTCAGGCATATGGCTCATGCCTGTAGTTCCACCTACTTGGGAGGCTAAGGCAGGAGGATCGCGTGAGCCCAGGAGTTCCAGACCATCCTGGACAACATAGGGAGACTCCATCTCTACAAAAATGAAAAAAAAAAAAAAGAGCTCAGTGTGATGGCATGTGTCTGAAGTAGCAGCTACTCAGGAGGCTGAAGTAAGAGGATCACTTGAGCCCGGGAGTTGGAGGTTGCAGTGAGCTATGATCACTCCATTGCATTCCAGTCTGGGTAACAAAGCAAGACCCTCTCTCAAAACAAGAAAAAAGAGGGCCAGGAGCGGTGGCTCATGCCTGTAATCCCAGCACCTTGGGAGGCAGAGGTGGGGGAGGGTCATCTGAGGTCAGAGGTTCAAGACCAGCCTGGCCAATATAGTGAAACCCCATCTCTACTAACAACAACAACAACAAAAATTAGCTGAGCATGATGGTGGCACGTGCTTGTAATCCCAGCTACTCAGGAGGCTGAAGCAGGAGAATCGCTTGAACCTGGGAGGCGGAGCTTGCAGTGAGCCGAGATCGTACCACTGTACTCCAGCCTGGGCAACAGCCAGACTGTCTCAAAAAAAGAAAAAAAAATAGAATGCGCCTTTCTCTAAAATCCAAGGACAGGAAAGGAATCGTGTAGTGATGTGTGCAGGTGGCAGGATCACTGAGGCATCTCACGGTTTAGGGCCAAATGTCCACAGCTGCTTGCAAAGATGCCAGGCTTTTATTTTTTTTATTTATTTATTTTTTTTTTGAGATGAGTCTCGCTCTGTCACCAGGCTGGAGCACAGTGGCGCAATCTCGGCTCGCTGCAACCTCTGCTTCCCAGGTTCAAGGGATTCTCCTGCCTCAGCCTCCCGAGTAGCTGGGACTACAGATGCGTGCCACCACACCCGGCTAATTTTTAGCAGAGATGGGGTTTCACTGTGTTAGCCAGGATGGTCTCGATCTCCTAACCTCATGATCCGCCCGCCTTTGCCTCCCAAAGTGCTGGGATTACAGGCGCGAGCCACCGCGCCCAGCCAAGATTCCAGGCTTTTAAGAACAGTTGCCTGAAACAAGAGGACATCCGGCAGGGTGCCATGGCTCACGCCAGTAATCCCAGCACTTTGGGAGGCCAAGGTGGGTGGATCACCTGAGGTCAGGAGTTTGAAACCAGCCTGACCAACATGGTGAAACCCAGTCTCTACTAAAAATACAAAATTAATCAGGCATGGTGGCATGTACCTGTAATCCCTGCTACTCAGGAGGCTGAAGCAGGAGAATGGTTTGAACCTGGAAGGCAGAGGTTGCAGTGAGCTGAGATTGCACCACTGCACTCCAGCCTGGGTGACTAAAACTCCATCTCAAAAAAAAAAAAACCGAAAACATCCATGCGTTCTGCTTTGTAGACTTCCAGGAGCCTCATCCCGCAGCCCCCTGCAGGCCACCCACTCACCTGGGAAGCTCCACGTCCTTATCTCTTCCTCCTCCATCCATGGCTCCTTCCCCTGCTCCAAACTGGAGATCACAGCTGGTTTGCTGACTTGACACCCTGTTCGGGAGAAACAGTTAAAGGATTTGTGCTGAGCCAGCTGGGCCTTCCAAGCAAGCAGACAGTTCAGCTTGCAAAACAAACGGTGGACGTCTCAGCCAGAGAAGAGCTGTTTCGCTTGGCAGGTAACTTCACAAGGACCCCAAGTGGCATCGAGACTCTTTGACCACTGAAACCCAAGGCCAAGCACTTTTATTTTTGACACAGGGTCTTGCTCTGTTGCCCAGGCTGGAGTGCAATGGCACAATCACAGTTCACTGCAGCCTCAACCTCCTGCACTCAAGTGATCCTCCCGTCTCAGCCTCCCAAATAGCTGGGACTACAGGCATGCATCACCACTCTCAACTAATTTAATTTTTTTGTAGAGATGGGGTTTTGCTCTGTTGCCCAGGCTAGTCTTGAACTCGGGCCTCAAGTGATCCTTCCATTTGAGACTCACAAGTATCTGGGACTGCAGGCACATGCCACCATGCCTGGCTCATTTTTTAATTTGTATAGATCGGGTCTTGCACCTGTGGCTCAAGCAATCCTCCCACCTCGGCCTCCTGAAATGCTGGGATCACAGGCATGAGCCACCATGCCCAGCCTAGCACTTTTAGTGTGTGAGCAGTTCCCCAGTTTTACACAACTAAGAAAAAGAGTTCATGTAACCCGAGGACCACGGGGAAGTCCTCCTCACCCAGAGAGAGCAGGAGGCTGTAGTTCTCCAGCATCACATCCGGTACAGGGTCCTCCGCTCCAGGTCCAGCTGCTGCCACTCTTTCCAGGTGAAGCCCACAGCCACGTCCCCGAATGACAGTGACCCCTGGGACAGCACATGGCTGATGAATGTGGAGTGGCTGGCACTGGGTACCATGGCAAAGGCGTAGAGGAGATTGCTCTTACCACCTTCTGAGGTCCGCTCTCCCCATGTTAGGTTAGGTAGGAAGCTGAGCACGCCCCTAACTTTGTACTACACTTTGTGGAAGAGAAAACAAAAAAATCATTAGAAAAAATATCTCGGCCGGGTGCAGTGGCTCACACCTGTCATCCCAGTACTTTGTGGGGCTGAGACGGGCAGATTGCTTGAAGTTAGGAGTTTGAGACCAGCCTGGCCAACATGGTGAAACCCCGTCTCTACAAAAAACAGATTAGCTGGACGTGCTGGTGGGTGCCTGTAATCCCAGCTACTAGGGAAGCTCAGGCAGGAGAATCGCTTCAACCCAGGAGGCGTAGGTTGCAGTGAGCTGAGATCCTGCCCTTGCACTCCAGGCTGTACAACAGAGTAAGACTCCATCTCAAAAAAAAAAAAAAAAAAAAATCTCACTACTGGATCTCTTCATTCCTACTGGATCTCTTCATTCCTTCAACAATCAAGCACCTTTCAAGGACCTGGCACGCTGCCGGTGTTCTACCAGGTGCTTGGGGTCAAGGGCTAAACACAAAATCGTTCCTGTTCTACAGGTGCTTAGAAGTGTTGCTGCAGATGAACACATGAAGAGAGCTGTACCGTAAGACTACGCTGTAGGCGGTGGTAGACATGTGGTTACATACAGAATGGACACGAGGAAGACAGCAGCCAGATCCAACGTACTGTCAAGTGAAGCTTCCTAGGAGGTCACGGGCGAGCAGAATCACGAAAGATAAACAGAGTGATCTGAGGTCTGAAGGATATTCCTAGCAAGAGGCCTGGCATGGGCAAAGGAGGCACGGAAAAGTCTGGTAGGAGCCACAAAGAGAATGAAAATGCAGGGTGTAAGGTGTGTGCGGGAGAGGGAGAGAGCGTGCGTTGAAGTGCCTGTTTTTTTTTCCCCCTGTAGGAAATGGGGACTCGCATCTCACGGTATTTAAGGAGGGGAACTACAGATGATCTGATGTGGAAAAAAGGTGGGAGGCGCCAGACAAGAGGATAGCAGGAGCTAAATTAGTGCACGATTCTAATCCTCAATATAAGCTATGCTCAAAATTAAAACAGCAAGAGAAATGCAGAGAAGGGATTCCACAGATGCAGAACAGGGCTTGGGTCCTTCACCCCTCCCATCCCCTCTCCATGAATTAAAGACCCCCATTTAAACATTTTTAATTTATACCTTTTAGAAGAAAATATAAGAGGTGTGTGTGTGTATGTATGTGTGTGTGTGTGTGTGTGTGTATATATATATAAAATACAAGGATATTATCTATTATATCTATATATTGTATATAGAGAGATATATATATACACACATATAGAGTTTTTGTTTTTGTTTTTTTTTTTTTTTGGAGAGTGTTTCACTCTTGTCACCCAAGCTGGAGTGCCGTGGCGCAATCTTGGCTCGCCGCAACCTCTGCCTCCCGGGTTCAAGCGATTCTCCTGCCTCAGCCTCCTGAGTAGCTGGGATTACAGGCATGCACCACTACGCCTGGCTAATTTTGTATTTTTAGTAGAGAAGGGGTTTCTCCACGTTGGTCAGGCTGGTCTTGAACTCCTGACCTCAGGTAATCTGCCCGCCTCAGCCTCCCAAAGTGCTGGGATTACAGGTGTGAGCCGCGGCCCCTGGCCTTAGATCTTTTTGGGACAGGGTCTGTCTCTGTCCAGGCTGGAGTGCAGTGGTGTGATCATGGCTTGCTGAGCCTCTAACTCCTGGGTTTAAGTGATCCTCTCGCCTCAGCCTCCCGAGTAGCTGGGATTACAGGCATATGCCACCACACCCAGCTAATTTTATTTAAATTTTTTGTAGAGGTGGGGTCTCACTATGTTGTTTAATGAAAGTTTAAATAATTTGAGGCCGGGCAGGTTGGCTCACGTCTGTAATTCCAGCACTTTGGGAAGCCAAGGCAGGTGGCTCACTTGAGGGCAAGAGTTCAAGACCAGCCTGGCCCACATGGTAAAACCCCATCTCTACTAAAAATACAAAAGAATTAGCTGGGCATGGTGCTGGGCACCTGTAATCCCAGCTACTCAGGAGACAGGAGAAACACTTGAACCCGGGAAGTGGAGCTTGCAGTGAGCCGAGATGGCGCCACCGCACTCCAGCCTGGACCACAGAGCAAGAGTCTGCCTCAAAAAAACAAAAGTGAGGGTTGGGGTGCTTTCGTCACTGCGGCGGAGATCAAGGGGGGATGCTGGGTAGAGAGGGCTGCAGTGGGCGCCCCGGACACAGGCTGCTGGGGTGGTGAGGGATGCTCACAGGCAAATGGGTGACCCAAAGTGTCCCCAAAAGTGGGACAAGTGCGTGCAGAGGAGGGTCAGGAAGCAGGGCACAGCCCGGGGGCAGCAGCAGGGACCGGGAGCTATGTGGGAGGGGGAGAGGCAATCCACAAAGAAGCCCAGATCTCCAATCACCCTGAGGAGCCTGGGTTCTCTTCCACACTCCGATCTCTAGAAAACTTATGACCAAGGGCTAAAGGCTGCTGAAGCCAGTGACTGGATTTTTTTGTTTTTGTTTTTGTTTGTTTTTTTTTTTGAGACGGAGTCTTGCTCTGTCGCCCAGGCTAGAGTGCAGTGGCCGGATCTCAGCTCACTGCAAGCTCCGCCTCCCGGGTTCAAGCGATTCTCCTGCCTCAGCCTCCCGAGTAGCTGGGACTACAGGCGCCCGTCACCTCGCCCGGCTAGTTTTTTGTGTTTTTTAGTAGAGATGGGGTTTCACCGTGTTAGCCAGGATGGTCTTGATCTCCTGACCTCGTGATCCACCCATCTCGGCCTCCCAAAGTGCTGGGATTACAGGCTTGAGCCACTGCACCCGGCCTTTTTTTTTTTTTTTTGAGATGGGGTCTCACTGTGTTGCCCAGGCTGGAATGCAGTGGTGCAGTATTGGCTCACTGCAACCTCCGCCTCCTAGGTTCAAGTGATTCTCCTGCCTCAGCCGCCCAAGTAGCTGGGATTACAGGCACACACCCAGCTAATTTATGCATTTTTAGTAGAGACAGGGTTTTGCCATGAGGCTAGGCTGGTCTCGAACTCCTGACCTCAGGTGGTCTGCCTACCTCAGCCTCCCAAAGTGCTGGGATTACAGGCATGAGCTATCATGTCAGACGTCTATGTAGTATATGTACATATACATACATACATATAAATATATAATGTAGTTCACATATGTCTAGTATATATATACACAATGTCTACATAGTTAATACATATGTCTTTGCAATTTCTATGTAATTTATTCATATATGATTTCTATATAAATATATAATTGCCATGTAAATATATAATTTCTGTAGATATGCCTCTCATGGGTTTATTCATGAAATAACATATGAAAAGCACAGAGACCACAAAAGTGCTGGACAGACAGCGTTGAAACGGGTCATTGTCATCTTTAGTGCACAGATTGCCCTAACAGGGAGTCATTCCCAGTGGCACTTGGCTTCGTCCAAAACAGTGGCTTCCATCTGGGCGCAGTGGCTCCCACCTGTAATCCCAGCACTTTGGGAGGCCGAGGCGGGCAGATCACAAGGTCAGGAGATCGAGACCAGCCTGGCTAACATGGTGAAATCCTGTCTCTACTAAAAATGAAAAAAAATTAGCTGGGCGTGGTGGTGGGCACCTGTAGTCCCACCTACTCAGGAGGCTGAAGTAGGAGCATGGCATGAACCCAGGAGGCGGAGGTTGCAGTGAGCTGAGATTGTGCCACTGCACTCCAGCCTGAGTGACAGAGTGAGACTCCACCTCAAAAAAAAAAGTGTTTCCAAGGAAGACAGCAAGTGAAACGTCCAGCTTCACAGACAGGGCAGGTGTGGCTCGCCACCTTGTTCTAGCCTCTTCTACTGCTCTGAGACATTTCTGGTGTGAAACACCCAGACATCCCTGGCTTCACAAAGCACAAAGAAACCCAGGCTCTGTGAGCATTTTCCTTCCTGGAGTGGACAGTGGTAAACTTCACGAGGCCTCATCTTCCTCTGGGACCAACCCCTTCCTGCCCTGTGCACAGCTGCCCGGACAGAGGGCCTAATACACCTGAGCCAGGCTGGACCAATGGAATCCTCCCCAGAGAGCTTTCAAACTGGATCAGTGAAAGGAGGTTCAGTCCCTCACCGCGGCAGAACTTGCAGCTGTCAGGAGACGAGCTGTGGCTACGCTATTTCTGGCCACATAGACAAAGTCAGCCTGAGGAGAAAGTCGCAGAAGCAGAGAACAGGGAACAAGAAAGATTCCTGGCGATACCTGGGTTGCCAGATGCCTCTGGAGCCCGACTGCACACCTGCTCTTCCCAAGGCTTGCATGCTGCCTTATAGATTTTTTTTTTTTTTTTTTTTTGAGACAGGCTCTCTGTCTGTTGCCCAGGCTGGAGTCCAAAGGCATGATCACAGCTCATTGCAGCCTCAACCTCCTAAGGTCAAGTGATCCTCCCACCTTAGCCTCCTGTGCAACTGTGAATACAAGCATGTGCCACCATGCCTGGCTAATTTTTGTTTTTGTAGAGATGGGGTCTTGCCACATTACCCAGGCTGGTCTTGAACTCCTGGCCTCAAGCAATCCTCCTGCCTCAGCTTCCCAAAGTTCTAGAATTACTTTTTGTTTTTTTTAATCCTAACCTACTTCTAGTTGGATTTCTGGCTCTTAAAACTTCAAGGATTAGAACTTGAATTAGAACTTCTGACCAGTGCACTCCACACTCACACATTCCTAGAACCCGGGGTGAAGAGCGGAAGAAGGAGAAAGCTTCCAGACTGATGGAAAACACTGATGTCACTCACATGCAAAGAGAGCTAGCAGCCAAGGGGGCGGATCAACTGAGGTCAGGAGTTCGAGACCAGCCTGGCTAATATGATGAAACTCCATCTCTAAAAATACAAAAACTAGCTGGGCGTGTTGGTCCCTGCCTATATTCCCAGCTACTCAGGAGGCTGAGGCAGGAGAATCACTTGAACCCGGGAAGTGAAGGTTGTAAGTGAGCCAAGATCGTGCCACTGCACTCCAGCCTGGGTGACAGAGCCAGACTCCATCTCAAAAAAGTTTTTTTTTTTTTTTTTTTTTTTTTGAGACGGAGTCTAGCTCTGTCGCCCAGGCTGGAGTGCAGTGGCCGGATCTCAGCTCACTGCAAGCTCCGCCTCCCGGGTTTACGCCATTCTCCTGCCTCAGCCTCCCGAGTAGCTGGGAGTACAGGCGCCCGCCACCTCGCCCGGCTAATTTTTTTTGTATTTTAGTAGAGACGGGGTTTCACCGTGTTAGCCAGGATGGTCTCGATCTCCTGACCTCGTGATCCGCCCGTCTCGGCCTCCCAAAGTGCTGGGATTACAGGCTTGAGCCACCGCGCCCGGCCAAAAAAGTTTTTTTTAATTTAAAAAATAAAAACCATCATGGCAAGCAATTTCAGATGAGATCAGGCACGTTCCGGGTGGTGTGGCGGTAGACATGGCAGGTCATTTCAAGAACACGCAGTTCGTTCATTCGTTCCTCTAGGTAATGCAGTGTTACATCCAGGTCACTTGGCGCCACACAAGGCTGTCTCTGTAGGCCTGAGTGTTCTGCATCCTCAAACCAAACCAACAGAACCACAGACGGCAGCTTTGGCATAATACCTGCTGTTTATACAGAGGGGGAGGAAACTCACAAGAGATTTGCTGTGGTGGTTATTGAGGAACAGGCCTGCTACATCTCGCATACAAAGATCAAGTATATTTTTAAATGCCTGAAAAAGCCGTATTTCTCCTGAGAAGTAGACACGGTTGTCCAAAACAGACAACACAAGTCGTATATTAGATGGAATCTGCCTGCCTTTTTCAAGTGACAGGAATGTCAGATACAAATTTACCAGGCATTGGGCTGGGCGCAGTGGCTCACACCTGTAATCCCAGTACTTTGGGAGGCCAAGGTGGGTGGATCACTTGAGGCCGGGAGTTTGAGACCAGCCTGGCCAACATGGTGAAACCTCATCTTTACTAAAACTACAAAAATTCGCTGGGTGTGGTGGCAGGTGCCTGTACGGAGGCTGAGGCAGGAGAATTGCTTGAACCCAGGAGGCAGAGATTGCAGTGAGCCGAGATTATGCCACCGTACTCCAGCCTGGATGACGGAGTGAAACTCTGTCTCAAAAATTTACAAGGCATCTCACAGCTGCAGCAGCCTCTCCAGTCTCTCCCCCCTGTCCTTCCCACAGCTGTGATCTTCCTTCCTTCCTGTTTTCACTGATCCTCACTTCTGTTTGCATTTTACCAGATTTTTTTTTTTTTTTTTTTTGAGACAGAGTCTTACTGTCACCCAGGCTGCAATGCAATTTCACCACGTTGCCCAGGCTAGTCTCGAACTCCTGATCTCAGGTGATCTGCTCACTTTGGCCTCCCACAGTGCTGGGATTACCAGTGTGAGCCACCACGCCCAGCCTTTATTAGACACGTTCTTATGAGCATCCGAAATCCCTGCTGAAAAAGCGCAGTAGAAAGACATGCCACACTCACCTGGGCCATGGTTCTTCTCTGCTGTTGTGGGAAAGCAGACACCTGTGAAGGCAGACGTCGGGATGGGGAGAGAGGATGTGAGAGGCCACGCTTGTCCAGGGGCTCCTGATCAACTGCTGGGACCACCCCGCACCCCACCCCTCACGGGCACAGGTGGGAGAAAACCTTCTCTGAAGGGTCCCCATTATCAGAGCAAAGCCCTCACCTTGCAAATGTCATAGGGACTCACTCTGGTGAGGCCTGACTTGGATTTTTGTTTTTTGAGACGGGGTTTCACTCTGTCACCCAGGCTGGAACGCAGCGATGCAATCACTACTCAATGTAGCCTTGGACTCCCAAGCTCCGGTGATCCTCCCAAGAAGCTGGGACTATAGGTGTGTCACACGCCCAGCTGATTTTTAAATTTTTTGGTAGAGATGGGGGTCTCACTGTATTGCCCAGGCTGGTCTCAAACTCCTGGGTTCAAGCAATCTGCCCGCCTCAGCCTCCCAAAACCTTGAGATTACAGGGGTCAACCACCACGACTGACTGGAGTTTTTCTTAATGAGTATGTGTATCTGTGTCTCAGTAATCGATGTGCAATTTACTACAACCCCCACCCATTACCCAAAAATGTAATTATTATAAATTTATTCTGAAGAAACAGCTGGACACAGACACTCACGCCTGTAATCACCACACTTTGGGAGGCCAAGGCAGGTGCATCACCTGAGGTCAGGAGTTCAAGACCAGTTTGGTCAACATGGTGAAACCCCATCTCTACTAAAATACAAAAATCAGCCAGGTGTGATGGCACATGCCTGTAATCCCAGCTACTCAAGACGCTGAGGCAGGAGACTCTCTTGAACTCGGGAGGCAGAGGTCACAGGGAGCCGAGATTGAGCCGTACCGCCGAGATTGTGTCACTCCAGCCTGGGTGACAGAGCAAGACTCCATCCCCCAAAAAATATTGTAAGAAAACATTTTTAAGGGGATGGGGTCTCTGTATGTCGCCCTAGAGTGCAGTGGTATGGCACAATCTCGGCTCCCTACCACCTGTCCCTGTAATCCCAACTACTTGGGAGGCTGAGGCAGGAGAATCGCTTGAGCCTCGGAGGTGGAAGTGACAGCTGTGATCGCACCACTATACTCCAGCCTGAGCAACAAACAAAGTGAGACTCCGTCTAAAAAACCTCATTTGTGTGTGTGTGTGTGTGTGTGTGTATGTATATGCTGTATATATATATATATATAAAAGCATATATATATGTCATATATATATGCTTTTTGTAGAGTCAGGGTCCTGCTATGTTGCCCAGGCTGGTCTTGAACTCCTGGCCTCAAGTGATCCTCCCGCCTTGGCCTCCCAAAGTGCTGGGATTACAAGCATGCACCACTGTGCCCGGCCTGTTTCTTGTTTGTATACATCCACCACAAACTACAGCACATGTAATAAGTTTGTAAACATACATCTATAAAGAAAAAATTATGGGCCAGGGGCAGTGGCTCACGCCTGTAACCCCAGCACTTTGGGAGGCCAAGGCAGGTGGATCACTTAAGGTCAGGAGTTTGAGACCAACCTGACCAACATGGTGAAACCCCAGCTCTACTAAATATACAAAATTAGCCGGGCATGGTGGCTCACGCCTGTAATCCCAGCTACTTGGGAGGCTGAGACAGGAGAATTGCTTGAACCCGGAAGGCCGAGATTGCAGAAAGCCGAGATCGGTCCCCCCAAAAAAAAAAGATTGGTTCCCCCCACCCCGCCCAAAAGAAAGCAAATTCTATGGCTTGACATTGTGTAAGAGTTTATTTACTCAAGCTTGTTCAACCCACCTTATTTTGTTGTTGTTTTGGTTTTGTTTAGCAGCCTGAGGCCATGGCTTTTCGTTTCTGTCTCTACTGCTAAGTGGAAAAGAGGGATGAGGAAGTGCTTTACTGGCCCAACCAGAAACAGAAACTAAGAAGCTATGACTGTGTTCTCTCCCTTGCACACCCCTGGTTCTATCGTGGTAGAAGCCAGGTCCGGAGGTGCCAGTGGGATGGGCAGAGCGGACGCTCGGGCTGCGCAGGCAGGAGAGGATGATGGGAATTGCAAATGATCCAGAGACAGCGTGGGCTGGGCTTGTCCTCTAAGCACCAGGGACATGCTCTGGCCCTGAGCCTGCAAACTCACACTCCCTAAAGCAAGATCCTCTTTCTCTTCCTAGCAAGGCTTCCACTCATTTGAAACCTAGATGATCCTTCGACGTGACCACTCAGGTTTGCGCTGGCTTTGCGGGCAGGGGCCATTTCAGGCACGTGGACCTTGGGGTTTTTTGTGGAGTTTCGCTCTTGTTGCCCAGGCTGGGGTGCAGCGGCATGATCTCAGCTCACTGCAACCTCTGCCTCCCGGGTTCAAGCAATTCTCCTGCCTCAGCCTCCCGAGTAGCTGGGATTACAGGCACCTGCTACCACACTCAGCTAATTTTAGTATTTTTAGTAGAGACAGGGTTTTGCCATGTTGGCTAGGCTCTCTGAAACTCCCAACCTCAGGTGATCCGCCCACCTCGGCCTCCCAAAGTGCTGGGATTACAGGCATGAACCACCATGCCCGGCCCCAGGTACACGGACGTTGGGAGCTGCCACCCTCCACGTGGCCCTCCGGCTTCAGCCCTAAGCTATGTGAAGAGGTCTCAGAACTGGGGTCTCGCTTTCCAAAGCAGATTCCTGCTCCCTGCGGTCAAGTTCTTCTTCACAGGAATGTTTTACTTCTGGCATGCCTGGGCCTCGAATACTTGCGCAAATCCACTTGGCTGCCAAGGCTCCGCTCCCCTACTGAGAACTTACCTTCAGGTGGGGACTCCAGCTCCAGCCTCTGCAGCTCTCAGACCGGGGTAGAAACAAGCTTGAGGTGCTGAGAGGAGGGACCCACCTTCCTGACAAAGTCCAATCCTGAGCTTCTGCAAAGACACGAGGAAAACCCGAAATTACAATGACGCAGTGAGGCTCACATGAAAACATTAGCACACCTGTCACCTCAGCACTTTGGGAGGCTGAGGCAGGAGAATCGCTTGAGGCCAAGGAGTTTGAGACCAGCCTGGTCAACAAACACCCCGCCTCTACAGGGGGAAGAGAAGACATGAGCAGGATACCTTTACCCCGATGGAGAGAAACCAATCGGTGGCAGAAGGGAAAGTCAGAAAGCCTGGAACACAAGACGGAGTCCATGCTGTTTCTGGCTTTGAAAATGGAGGGACCGGCTGGGCGCGGTGGCTCACGCCTCTAATCCCAGCACTTTGGGAGATCGAGACGGTGGATCGCCTGAGGTCAGGAGTTTGAGACCAGCCTGGCCAACATGGTGAAACTCCGTCTCTACTAAAAACACAAAAATTAGGCCGGGCGCGGTGGCTCAAGCCTGTAATCCCAGCACTTTGGGAGGCCGAGACGGGCGGATCACGAGGTCAGGAGATCGAGACCATCCTGGCTAACACGGTGAAACCCCGTCTCTACTAAAAATACAAAAAATTAGCCGGGCGTGGTGGCGGGCGCCTGTAGTCCCAGCTACTCGGAGGCTGAGGCAGGAGAATGGCGTGAACCCGGGAGGCAGAGCTTGCAGTGAGCCAAGATTGCGCCACTGCACTCCAGCCTGGGAGACACAGCGAGACTCCGTCTCAAAAAAAAAAAAAAAAACACAAAAATTAGCCAGGTGTGGTGGCGCATGCCTGTAATCACAGCTACCAGGGAGGCTGAGGCAGGAGAATCACTGCAACCCGGTAGGCAGAGGTTGCAGTGAGCCGAGTTCGCACCAATGCACTCCAGCCTGGGTGACAGAGCGAGACTCTGTCTCAAAAAAAAAAAAAAAAAATGGGGGGACCCCGTTGGAAAGCAAGCTGGTGGGCTTAGGGAGCTGAGTGTGGCCCCCAGCTGACAGCCAGCAAGGAATCGGGGATCTGAGTCTTAAAACAGAATTCTGCAAACCACCTTAAATGCACTTGGAAGCAGATTCTTCCCAGAGCCTTCAGCTAAAAGCCCAGCCCCAGCCTACGCGTTCCTTTGAGCCAGATGCTACCTGGAGCGTGGAACCCATAGGCGAGGCTGCCAGGATTTCTGACCTCCCAAACTCTGTGTTAGTAAGTGGGTGTGGTTTTAGTCACCAAATGAGTGACAGTCTATCATACAACAATAGAAAATTACTACAGGCCAGGTGTAGTGGCTCACGCCTATAATCTCAGCACTTTGGGAGGCTGAGGCAAGTGGATCACTTGAGGTCAGGAGTTTGAGACCAGCCTGGTTAACATGGTGAAATCCTCTCTCTACTAAAAATACAAAAATTAGCCAGGCATGGTGGTGCATGCCTGTAATTCCAGCTACTTGGGAGGCTAGGCATGAGAATCGCTTGAACCCAGGAGGCAGAGGTTGCAGTGAGCAGGATGTCACTGCTGCACTCAGCCTGGCGGTGACAGAGTACAACGTCCATCTCAAAAAAAAAAAAAAAAAAAAGGCAAGCATAAAAGCAAACCTGAATATCAAAACAAAAATATATACATTGCATAGATCCCACTAACTCAAAAAACAATAAAATTAGAAAATAAAAATACAAAAAAATTTTAACCCTAAATATGAAATGAATCCATACTTGAAATATTCCCAAAGAAATACCAGGCCTATATGTTTTTTAGGAATTTTATCAAACTCTCTTCAAGACTTTGCAATGTGTAGAAGTGGTTCATTCGGGTTTCTATGTCAGTCAATTTTAGCAATTTACAATTTCTACAAATGTGTCTTACTTAATTTCAGATTTATGCCATTAAATGATTTATAGTAACATCTCATTTTTAAAAAATCTACTGGCCAGGCGCGGGGGCTCATGCCTGTAATCCCAGCACTTTGGGAGCCCGAGGCGGGTGGATCACCTCAGGTCAAGAGTTCGAGACCAGCCTGGTCAACATGGTAAAACCTTGTCTCTACTAAAACTACAAAAAAAAAAAAAAAAAAAAATTAGCTGGACATGGTGGCACATGCCTGTAGTCCCATCTACTTGGGGAGGCTGAGGCAGGAGAATTGCTTCAACCCAGGAGGTGGAGGTAGCAGTGAGCCAAGATCATGTCACTGCACTCCAGCCTGGGCAACAGAGCGAGACTCCATCTCAAAAAAAAAAAAAAAAGCCCAGGCACAGTGGCTCACGCCTGTAGTCCCAGCACTTTGGGAGGCTGAGGCAGGCGGATTGCCTGAGGTCAGGAGTTCGAGACCAGTCTGGCCAACATAGTGAAACGCCATCTCTACTAAAAATACAAAAAAATAAGCCGGGTGTGGTGGCGTGTACCTGTAATCCCAGCTACTCCAGAGGCTGAGGCAGGGGAGTTGCTTGAACCAGGGAGATGGAGATTGCAGTGGAGCCAAGATCACGCCACTGCACTCCAGCCTGGACAACAGGGCAAGACTCTGTCTCCAAAAAAAAAAAAAAAAAGAAAGAAAGAAAATCTACTGTATCTTAAATTATCTTGTCTTCCATTCTAAAAATAGCTTATTTCTGTTCTCCCTTGATCAGTGCAGACTGAAGTTTGTCTATTAGTTTTGAATACAAACCAAATTTTGGGGGGGGGGGAGGTTTAAACACATCCTTTCCAATAAATGATTTTAGCTTTTTAACTTTTTACTTGAGTGACTTGAGACTCAAAGGAAAGTTTCAAGAATAGTACAAAGAATTTCCAAATGCCCTTCTCATCTAGATCTTCCAAATACTAACATTTTACCACATTTGTGCAGGCGGCTGGAGGGACTTCAGGGCTGATGAAAAACATCCCACCACAAGGTGGCAGAGCACACACGAGCGGCACCTGGGCGAGGCTTTATGCGGGCAGGAAGCCCCTCGTACTAGACGCCATCCCAGGGCTGTGGCATGGCTGGCGTTCATGACCCAGAAGGAGAGGGGGCAGGGCCAGCTCCTGGGTATCTCTGAGAGCTTTAGGGTCTTTTTTTTTTTTTTTTTTTTGATATGGAATCTCACTCTGTCACCCAGTCTGGAGTACGGTGGCACGATCTCCAACCTCTGCCTCCTGGATTCAAGCGATTCTGCCTCAGCCTCCTAAGTAGCTGGGATTACAGGCCCCTGCCATCATGCCTGGCTGATTTTTGTATTTTTGTAGAGACACGGTTTCCCCATGTTGGCCAGTGATCTTGAACTCCTGACCTCAGGTGATATGCCTGCCTCAGCCTCCCAATGTGCTGGGGTTAAAGGCATGAGCCACCACACCCAGCCAGCCTTGGGGTCTTGATAGTCACATGGTTTGTCTTATACATGGCCAGCAGATGTTAGGTGCATTTTCCCAGGTATGCACAGCAAGAGATCTCTAAATAACTATAAATCTGCATGTACTTGGGCTACGATTAAAACCACTGGGGCCAGGCATGGTGGCTCACACCTATAATCCCAGCACTCAGGAAGGCCAAGGCGAGAGGATCCTTTGAGCCCAGGAGTTCAAGGCCAGCCTGGGCAACATAGCGAGACCCCTCTCTCTATTAAAAAATAAAACAGGCCAGGCGTGGTGGCTCACACCTGTAATCCCAGCACTTTGGGAGGCCAAGGCAGGTGGATCACCTGAGATTAGGAGATCAAGACCAGCCTGGCCAACATTGTGAAACCCCGTCTCTACTGAAACTACAAAAATTAGCCAGGTGTGGTGGTGGGCGCCTGTAATCCCAGCTACTGGGGAGGCTGAGGCAGGAGAAACACTTGAACCTGGGAGGCAGAGGTTGCAGTGAGCCGAGGCAGTGCCACTGCATTCCAGCCTGGGCAACAGAGTAAGATTGTCTCAAAAAAAAATAAAAGAAAAAAGAACATTACTCAATTTAGGTTTAATATCTCATGATTAGATACAGGTGACACATTTGTGGCAGAAATTTCTTTTTTAACCTGCTCTATTTTTTTGTTTTAAGTGGAAAAACACTTTATTCCATAAAACAGTAAGTATTCCGCTCTTCTTCTTAATTTCTCCTCATATGCTTTTATCTTTGGGGGTTTGTGCTTTTTTTTCCTTTTTAAATGTCTTTTTCTGGGAGACACAGACTGGACAAATGGGGGCGGATGCTCCCTATTCTTTTTTCCATGCTAGCCACCTCAGCTGAATGTTATTACGTTTCACTTTTTATTTAATACATATATCAGGACTACAATAATAAGTTAAAAAGAAAAAACTTAATTCTTGGAAAGGTTTTATTAAAACTAATAAAATAATTGGTTAGTATTTAAGATTAATAAAATCGACCAGAATCCAGGCACAATTGAGCAAGAGAAGATATGAAAAAGACAATTTCAGATACGGTCGAGGTTTGATTTTTTTTTTTTTTTTTTTTTTTTTTTTTTGAGATAGGGTCTCACTCTGTCGCCCAGATGAGACTGCAGCGGCATACGCTTGACTCACTGCAACCTCTACCTCCCGGGCTCAAGCGATTCTCTTGCCTCAGCCTTCTGATAGCTGGGATTACAGGCGTGTGCCGCTACTGTCCAGCTGATTTTTTTTTTTTTTTTTTTTTTTGTATTTCTAGTAGATACGGGGTTTCACCATGTTGGCCAGGCCAGTATCCAACTCCTGACCTCAAATGATCCACTCGCCTTGGCCTCCCAAAGTGCTGGGATTACAGGCGTGAGCCACAGTGCCTGGCCATAGTCGAGTTTTATAATTGTAAGATTACTGTAAATAATTGCCACAAATTCAAAATTAAATGGGACACTTTCCTAGAAAATATAAATTACTAAAATTCACAAACACAAAACCAGAATAAACCACTCAACATTAAGTGGATCCATCCTAAAAAATACAGCCATCGGAGAAACGCCAGGAATGTATCACATTCTACTGAAGATTTCTGCAATGTCCACAACTCAAAGTGAATTTATATCTAAAATATATGAAAAAAATGCTAAAAATAAGAATAAGACAACCCCGAAAGAAATACAGGCAAAGGTTATGAACATACAAAGCAATCTTACACTGATTATGGCTACACTCCTGTCTAGTAAATAAACAAAAACATAGATATACAGCAATTTTGGCCAGGTGTGGTGGCTCACGCCTGTGATCCACTTGAAGTCAGGAGTTTAACACCAGCCTGCCCAACATGGGGAAACCCCGTCTCTACCAAAAATACAGAAATTAGCCACGTGTGTTGGGCACCTGTGATCCCAGTTACTCAGGAGGTGGAGGTTGCAGTGAGCCCAGATCAGGCCACTGCACTCCAGCCTGGGTGACAAGAGACTCAACCCCCGCAAATAAAAGATATATAGCAATTTTAAGTTTCAGTTTAATCTCAGTGAGGGAGAGTACAAAGGGTCAACAGTATTTATGAGGTTTTAGTTCTGTAGAAAATCTGAACCCAGCATACTTTTTTTTTTCCACATCCATTCGGCTCAGAATGAAGTAAACTTTTGACATCTGTTCAATCTGGATCATGAGCACAAAGGTTTCTTTTTCTTTTACTTTGCTCTGTATTTAGATCTCTTCTAATATTACTAATCAAAAATAGCAAAAAAGAATTATGGACATGTCATAGGAAAAACCTCCTTCAGGCCGGGCAAGGTGGCTCATGCCTGTAATCCCAGCACTTTGGGAGGCCAAGGTGGGTGGATCACGAGGTCAGGAGTTCGAGACCAGCCTGACCAACATGGTGAAACCCTGTCTGTACTAAAAATACAATAATCAGCCGGGTGTGGTGGCGCCCACCAGTAATATCAGCTACTCAGGAGGGTGAGGCAGGAGAATCGCTTGAACCTGGGAGGTGGAGGTTGCAGTGAGCTGAGATTGCACCACCGCACTCCAGCCTGGGCGACAGAGTGAGATTTGGTCTCAAAAAAAAAAGAAAAGAAAAATCTCTCAATAAGACCCAAGAGCAAGTCGTGATAGAAAAACCACCACCACAAAAACATTTGGTCTTATCAACATTTAAAACCATAGTACCAGTTTCATTCTTTCCCCAACTCAAGTCAGTTTCATCTTTAAAAAAAGCATCAAAGACAGACATCCTCTGCTAACTCCATCACCTCACACCACCCCGAGTGTTGCTCACCTTTCTTCACCAAGGGCTGGAAAAGAACAGTCTACATGGAACTGGCGCAGCTGCCGCCTCCTCCTCCAGTCTGCAACAGAGGTGCTGGCACTGTCCCGCCTTCATCAGGCGTCTCACATCTCCCTACTCAATTTTCTCACACCCTGGGTCCAACCCTCATAACTCTACTTCCTGCAGGGATGCTTTGACCAACACCCAAATATGATCGTGCCTCTGCCTTCAAGCACTGCATTTGCAGCTGGAGCAAGAGGGAGACCCCAGCCTTGGACCCTGCCAGTCAGCCCCCCACCCCGCCCCCAGCCTCACGGCCCCGGGCGCCTCCCGTGCCGAGTCCTCAGTGTCACCCATCATTACCCCTTAGGGATGCTCCTCACTGGTCCTGAAAGACCCTATTGCCCTTTCATCTGCAACATCTTATTTTTCTTTTTTTTTTTTTTTTTTTTTTTTTTTTTGAGACGGAGTCTCGCTGTGTCTCCCAGGCTGGAGTGCAGTGGCGTGATCTCCGCTCACTGCAAGCTCGGCCTCCCGGGTTCACGCCATTCTCCCGCCTCAGCCTCCCAAGTAGCTGAGACTACAGGCGCCCGCCACCACGCCCGGCTAGTTTTTTGTATTTTTAGTAGAGACGGGGTTTCACCATGTTAGCCAGGATAGTCTCGATCTCCTGACCTCGTGATCCACCCGCCTCGGCCTCCCAAAGTGCTGGGATTACAGGCTTGAGCCACCGCGCCCGGCCAACATCTTATTTTTCTTTAAGTCCGACCTGAAGTCATTCCTTCCCCAGTTGAAACTGACCCTCCCTCCCCTGGGTGTCCAGGCATCCTGATAGTTGGGGTAACTGACAGGGCGCCTACCCCTGGATCGCCCCCACGTTAACGTGACCAACACCTTTGTAGGACTGCATCCAACGAGGGACCCCAGCTCTTTGCTCCGCCAGATTGGACCCAGGCACTCAATATGTTTTGAATGAGCCCAGACGCCTGAAATAACCCCTCCACACCCTGCCTTCGTTTCCCTCCTAGCTCAGTGCCCACCACTGGCTGCGATTAGAGGTCTGTATGAGCCAGGTTGGAGAGAAAGAAGGGGGTTACCCTCTGCAAGAGACGGGGACTTTCCCCAACAGCCCCCCTCTTCCCCCTAGAGACCCAGGCACCGGAGTGCAGTGGAGTTCAGGGACCTGGATGGGCAGAGAAGCTTCAGGGGAAGGGACAGCAACAAACCCACTCTTGGGGAAGAGCGGGGTCCCCTGTGCAGAGAACGAGCCCCCAGCTCACCTGCGTCCAGGTGGTCACAGCGGTAGGTGCCCTGAGCGAGCTTCCAAGGGACGGTGAGGTCCGAGGAGGCAGAGCTGCGGGGAGGGGCAGTGAGATAAGGGGCCAGCCGCTGCTCGGGACCCACTACCTGTAGCGTCCCCCAGCCCAACTCGACAACCCGACAACCCGCGGAGACGTTGGGAGGAGCCGCTCCAGGACCCCAGTGCAGTGCTGGCCCTGTAGCAGGTGGGTGCCGGCCACGCTCTCGCGCACTCAGCACAGCCCCATAGCCAGCGCGCCGCCCCTCCCACGCGTGTCTGAGGTGTCAGTCGCCGTGGGAACAGCCTGGGGTCCCGAAGTGCACGCATTGCAGTCCCGCACCCCAAAACACTGCGTAAAAGAACTCCCCGGGACTACAACTCCCAGAACCCCCCACGACGCCATGCTTCCGGTTAGGCCACGCTGCACTTCCAGCCACAGCCGCGGCTACAGTCACATGTGAGGTGGCCACGGGCTGGCAGGGTGTGGCGCCGTAGCTCTGGTGACACAGAGCTGGGGGTGAATGCGCCCTCTTACACGTCCCCCATGGCCAAGGGTGGCCCTCATGGGCCCCACGTGTCTGATCTGATCTGCCCCAAGCCCTGTTCCATCGTGTGGGGCGGGCTATGGCTGGCCCGAACTCGGAAGCCCCACCTGGGTCTGGCACTGCGCCTCCTTCCTAGAGAGCCTGTTGCCTGGGGAGATCATCGTAAGAATTTTTATTTAGAGATGGAGTTTCGCTCCTTGCCCAGGCTGGGGTGCAGTGGCACCATCTTGTCCCACTGCAACCTCTGCCTCCCGGGTTCAAGCGGTTCTCCTGCCTCAGCCTCCCTATTAGCTGGGATTACAGGCACCCGCCACCATGCCCAGCTAATTTTTTGTATTTTTAGGAGAGATAGGGTTTCACCATTGTGGCCAGACTGGTCTCGAACGGCTGACCTCAGGTGAACCGCCCACCTTGCCCTCCCAAAGTGCTGGGATTACAGGCGTGAGCCACCACGCCTAGCCGAGAATTTTTAAGACTATGCTCTGGCTCTGTCGCCCAACTGGAGTGCAGCTGCACGATCATAGCTCACTGTAGCCTCCAACTCCTGGGCTCACGCCATCCTCCCCCATCAGCCTCCCCAGTAGCTGAAACTGCAGGCCCGCACCACCATGCGGGCTAATTTTTTTATTTTCTATTTTGTAAAGATGGGGTCTCCCTATGTTGCCCAGGCTAGACTTGAACTCCTGGACTCAATGAATCCTCCTGCTAGAATTACAGGTGTGAGCCACAGTGCCTGGCTAAAAATTTTATTTTTATATTAAGGCCTATCCTTCAGTCCTCATGATAGTCTCCAAAACAGATGTCATGATCTCCATTTCATAGGCAAGGAGTGAGAGGTACCCCATCTCAATATTTACCTTGAAGGAACCCCTGCATAAACATGATGTCTGGGACCCAGGCATGGTGGCTTGCTCCTGTCATCCCAGATACTCGGGAGGCTGAGGCGGGAGGATCACTTGAGGTCAGAAGTCGAGGCTACAGTGAGCCAAGATTGCTCCACTGCACTCTAGCCTGGGAAACAGTGAGACTCCCATCTCTTTTTTTAAAAAAATTTTACCTGTAGGCCGGGCGTGGTGGCTGACGCCTGTAATCCCAGCACTTTCGGAGGTCAAGGCAAGTGGATCACTTGAGGTCAGGAGTTTGAGACCAGCCTGGCCAACATGGCTAAGTCTCATCTCTACTAAAAATATAAAGCTTGGCGTGGTGACCGGCACCTGTAATCCCATCTACTCAGGAGGCTGAGACAGGAGAATCACTTGAACCTGGGAGTGGATGTTGCAGTGAGCTGAGATCGTATCATTGCACTCCAGCCTCGGTGACAGAACAAGAATCTGTCTCAAAACAAACAAACAAAAAAAAGCCCAGGCACGGTGGCTCACGTCTGTAATCCCAGTACTTTGGGAGGCTGAGGCGGGCGGATCACGAGGTCTGGAGTTTGAGACCAGCCTGGCTGACATGGTGAAACCCTGTCTCTACTAAAAATACAAAAATTAGCCGGGCGCGGTGGTGAGTGTCTGTAATCCCAGTTACTCAGGAGGCTGAGGCAGAAGAATCACTTAAACTCAGGTAGGCGAAGGTTGCAGTGAGCCAAGATCATGCCATTACACTCCAGCCTGAGCGACAGAGTGAGACTCCATCACAAAATAAAATAATTTAAAAAATAAATGTATTCAAAAGTTACAAAGTGAGAGTAAAAGAAAAGTTTAAAATGATGCTTTTTGTATGCTTGACCATTTGTACCTTTGAAGTTATTGTTTAAAACTTTGGGATATCCTAGTTTATATAACTTAGTAAATTAGAATTCCTGTTTTACAAGGTTAATGGAATTGCCTGCAGAGTTCAAACAAACAAGTATATTTGTCTAAAATTGATGTTCCTTATGGTTTAATGTGTCCTGGAGGGGGACACTGAATGTTTCTATGTGATTTTATTTGAAAATTACCAATGATCATTTTAGTTATTAACATGTTTAAACAGTAAGCTTCGTATCAATCTATTTTGAATTATTGGACACAGCCACTGAGACTTTTTAAAATTTACTCTTAGATCCAGCTTATGGTATTTTATTGTTTTGAGCCAGGGTTTCACTCTGTTGCCCAGGCTGGAGGGCAGTGGCATGATCACAGCTCACTGCAGCCTCGACCTCCCCAGGCTCAGGTGATCCTCCCACCTCAGCCTCCCGAGTAGCTGGAACTACAGGCATATGCCACCATGCCCAGTTAATCACGCTCTTTTTTGAATGGGAGGAAACACAATCCTTTTCTAACATGGGATTTTTTTTTTTTTTTTTTTTTTTTTTTTTTTTTTTTTGAGACAGGTTGGAATACAGTAGTGTGATCTGTAGCCTCGATCTCCAAAGCTCAAGAAATCCTCTCACCTCAGCCTCCTGAGGAGCTTGGGTCACAGGCACATGCTACCATGCCCAGCTAATTTCGTTCGTTTTTGTAGAGATGTGGTCTATGTTCCCCAAGCTGGTCTTGAATTCCTGAGCTCAAGGGATCCTCCCATCTTAGCCTCCCAAAGTGCTGGGATTAAAGGCATGAGACACCATGCCCAGCCGCCCAGCTGGCTTTTCCTTTTGTTTCTACAAAAAGATTTTGTGTCTTTATAAAAGGTTCTGTATCTGGTTTCCTGGATCAGGTTTGGACATCAGGAATTGGAGTCCTTTGCACATTCAACTACATAGATTTCTACCTTGTGGCAGATTTCTACCTTGTGGTAGATTTCTAACTGCGGTTTCTACCGTGTGGTTCTAGAGAGAATTATAAACAGTAGGCCAGGCGCGGTGGCTCACGCCTGTAATCCCAGCACTTTGGGAGGCCGAGGCGGGCAGATCACAAAGTCAGGAGTTCGAAACCATCCTGGCTAACACGGTGAAACCCTGGCTCTACTAAAAATACAAAAAATTAGCCGGGTGTGGTGGTGTACACCTGTAATCCCAGTTACTGAGGAGGCTGAGGCAGGAGAATTGCGTGAACCTGGCAGGCGAAGTTTGCAGTGAGCAGAGATTGTGCCACTGCACTCCAGCCTGAGTGACAGTGCATGACTCCATCTCAAAAAAAACAAATAAACAGTAGAAATAATCTCCATAAAAATGACTTATTTACAAATCTTGTGAGTGTAGATTCTTTTTAGAATAATCGTTTTGGGGCCGGGCACGGTGGCTCATGCCTGTAAACCCAACACTTTGGAAGGCCAAGGTGGATGGATCACCTGAGGTCATGAGTTTGAGACCAGCTTGGCCAACATGGTGAAACCCCGTCTCTACTAAAAATACAAAAATTGGCCCGGTGCAGTGGCTCATACCTGTAATCCTAGCACTTTGGGAGGCCAAGATGGGCGGATCACCTGAGGTCAGGAGTTCGAGACCAGCCTGACCAACATGGCGAAACTCCATCTCTACTAAAAATACAAAAAAAAATTAGCCAGGTGTGGTGGTACGTGCCTGTAATCCTAGCTACTCGGGAGGCTGAAGCAGGAGAATCGCTTGAACCCAGGAGGTGGAAGTTGCAGTGAGCCTAGATTGCACCATTGCACTCCATCCTGGGCAACAGGAACGAAACTTTATCTCAAAAATAAAAATAAAAACATAAAAACATTAGCTGGGCATGGTGGTGGGCGCCTGTAATCCCAGCTACTCAGGAGGCTGAGGCAGGAGAATTGTTTGAAAGATAATCACTTGAACCAGGGAGACAGAGGTTGCAGTAAGCCAAGATGGCATGATGGCATGCCAGCCTGGGCGACAGAGCAAGACTGTCTCAAAAAAAAAAAAAAAAAAAAAAACAACTATATATATATATATATCTCTATATATATATATATAAAGAATAATCCTTTTGGGGTTTTATGTCATTTGTTCCCTTCTTCCTATTTAGGTCATTTTGGTTGTACATATTTTCTTCCAAATTGTCCTTTAATCATGACACATTTTTAACTCAGATATTTGTTATGCCTATTACTTTTTCAAGATTTCTCTATAAATTTCCATTTTAGATCAGTGGGGGAAAATACACTACATAGACCCTCAAACACCCTGGGTTTGAACTTCGAAGGTCCACCTATATGCAGTTTTTTTTCAACTGAACTCAGAAAACACAATATTTGAGGGGTGTGAAACTCAAATATATAAAACCACAACTTTTCGTACACACAGTTCTGCAAGGCCAACCGTGGGACTTGAGTATGGCAGATTTGGGTATGAGGGTGATATGGTCTGTGTCCCCACCCAAATCTCACGTTAAATTATAATCCCTGGCTGGCCGCGGTGGCTCACGCCTGTAATCCCAGCACTTTGGGAAGCCGAGGCGGGCGAATCACCTGAGGTCAGGAGTTCGAGACCACCCTGGCCAACATGATGAAACCCCGTCTCTACTAAAAATACAAAAATTAGCTGGGTGTGGTGGTGCACGCCTGTAATCTGAGCTACTCGGGAGGCTGAGGCAGGAGAACTGCTTGAACCCGGGAGGCAGAGGTTGTAGTCAGCTGAGATTGCACCACTGCACTCCAGCCTGGGCAACAAAGCAAGACTCCGTCTTAGGAAAAAAAAAATTATAATCCCCAGTGTTGGAGGTGGGTCTGGTGGGAGGTGACTGGATCATGGGGGTAGGTTTCCCCTGTCGTGCTGTACTCATGAGACTGAGTGAGTTATCACGAGAGCTGGTTGTTTAAAAGTGTGTAGCACCTCCCGTCTTTCTCCCTCTTCCTCCTGCTCTGGCCATGTAAGACATTCCTGCTTCCCCCTCACCTTCCGCCATGATTGTCAGTTTCCTGAGGCCTCCCCAGCCATGCTTCCTGTACAGCCTGCAGAACTGTGAGTCAATTAAACCTCTTTTCTTCATAAATCACCCACTCTCGGGTAGTTCTTCATAGCAGTATGAGAATGAACTAATA